CCAACAAAACGTCTGTGGTTCTGTATTTTATAAAAATTACGAAAATTATGCGCAACAAAGAGAGAAAACTACAAAAACTCTATGAATTCAAAAAAACTACCATTAATTATAATTTGGAATTTCTTTTTCTGTAATTATTCTTTTTCCTGTTTTCATTATTTGCTAATTTAATCCGTTCACCATTTTCTCTGCCTTATTAAATCCATGTTATCATAAAAATACATCGTTATCTTCGTTTCTATTCAGTATTAGATAGTACCCGATATACTCGCGTATCGTGCGGCATTTGATGAACTAATTTTGAAGCTAATTTAACAACAGTAAATGGATATATAGTTTGGTCAACGGCATAGGCCAGCAGTCAGTCAGTTATGTGCCATGTGTGATACACGCTTAGGTTGATCATGTCCTGCTATTTACCCATAGCTGGGGGGGGTGAATAAGAGAATTATAATAAAAATTATTATTATATTGCTTTGTTACTTACATTGAGCAAGACCAATCCAAACAGATAACTGAAATCTTTTATAAGATCAGCGTTCCGTTTAAATATGATCACGTCGTGGTCACGTGGGCGATGTTGTGAAAACGTATTCCTAAAATTTGAGTATTTTGAATGAAAAACGAAAAGAATTTTATTTTGATCTAAAACTTTATATGTACGTTTGTCGAGCATTAATCTTGCTAGAAAAGGGGAAATATTAAAGAAGCCAGGTCTATTGGTCTTGCTTTTATGTCTATCGTCTTTTTCATGTTGAATTGAATATGGTCTATGTTAATTATGTTTTATGAATATGTCCTGAAGATGGTCTATTAGACCGAAACGTCCGACGTTGACATTATATTAACATTAAAACAACATAATTGCATATTAGGATTTTTGTTTGTTTTTCCGTATATTTTTCTTCATATATATATATATATATATATATATATATATATATATATATATATATATATATATATATATATATTAGATTTGCAAAAGAACATCGAAGAGAAATTCCAAGTCTATTGCAGATCCGCCATTTTCTGACGAAACTCACACAGGACAGGAAAATTATTTCAACCGCGGTTGCAGGAGAAGGCCTAGCAACCAGAGGGACATACATGCTCTCTGTTATATTCACCTTAATGTTTCGCATGTCTCATCAATACACGATAATCCCTCACAACAGCATTGAAAATAGTTTTCTATATCTCTTTAACTTCCATGAATTACCTCCCTTGCCAACCTGTTGTCAGAGATGAGCGATTACTTGCATACGTCATCATGGCGTCGATCACTTACATATTCGACACTAGCAAAAGGGCGCGATGAACCGACGCTTTCGAACAGAGTGACACTGAACGCACAGAAACGTGAGCAAGATTGCTTACACAGCTTATCCAACCAGCGCATCCTCACGCCGACCACGTGATAGGTGATAGGTTTTCATTCTCCCACGGGGGAACTTCGTCAGTCGCCCTGAATCGGCGGTTCAGCGCACAACGCCTACAGAAGCATTTCAATGGACACACTCCGGTCACTGTCGCCGTAAGGGGGCTCCAGGGAATACTAGGCTCCCTATCGAGGTGGCAAACCATCTTTCGGGCGTGTTCATACTTGTCGACGATTTATTCAATAAAACATGACCAATATCATCAAAAAGGTTTTAACGTTTCTTGTGCTGTGCGCTTGGCTGTCATCGCGACGCGAAAAGTGATATTTTGCATAATTTGCTGTCAACTCAAAACTTTGCCACCATTTGTCTTCGGATGGCACGAGGATCTCTGTTCATACGCCAACACCATCCTTTCTTTTATGGGTACAAACGCTCTCTCTCTCTCTCTCTCTCTCTCTCTCTCTCTCTCTCTCTCTCTCTCTCTCTCTCTCTATCATCTATCTATCTATCTTCATCTTCTTTCTCTTCCACCTCTCTCTCTCTCTCTCTCTCTCTATTCTCTTGTCCTGTCTCATTTCTCGTTAAACAAGTCATTTTTCTTTTTCTGATCTCAGGTGACACATTTTAAAATTTTTGTTTTGGAATTTTATTCTTGTCTCTTAATAATAATAATAATAATAATAATATAATTATTATTATTATTATTATTCTGTTTTCCTGAATTCGTACAAATATCGCGTATCTCCCTTACACTCTGTCTTATCCTATCTATCTATTTATCATATGTATGTGTGTGTGTGTGTGTGTGTGTGTTCGTGTGTGTGTGCGTATGTGTATACACACGCGAACACACACACACGATACCAACACTTGGCAATTTAAAAAAAAAAACAAACTACTTATGCCTTCCTTAATGAATTTCATCTCAAAATTCTGAAATTGATTAGAGAACTAAAAAGGGATTAGTATAAAATAGACATATGTTCAAATTATTCAACAATATATATATATATATATATATATATATATATATATATATATATATATATATATATCACCTCTTCTTAATAATGAATATTTTTCCTTTCCCTAACGCACACGAACATCGGATCGGATATCTTTCTCACATACACACACTCCGCTCTCTCTTTCTCTCTTTCTCTCCCTCTCTATCTTTTCCCTCCGTGTCTTAATAATCAATGCTCTCTCGCTTTCTCGTATTCAATCACATGTCTCACATGTGTCTCTCAATCTCTCTCTCTCTCTCTCTATATATATATATATATATATATATATATATATATATAGATAGATAGATAGATAGATAGATCTCAGCCGATTGAACTAGATAGATGAATGAAGAAATTGTGATAGACAAATGAATAGTTTGAGACAGACAGACAAATCGGTAGAGAGAGAGAGAGAGACAACGTGGGAGACAGAGAGAGACAGACAGACAGATTATGAGATTTGCTTTTAAAAAGGACAAAATTAAACAATAAATTAGATATAAATCTGTCAAGAAAGAACCGAGTTTTTGTGAGGAGATCAATTCTAAATAAACGGAATTTGCCAAACGATTGATAAAGAAACAGAAAACAGACATAGAAAAATGAGTTTCAATGTAATGGGCAAGGCAGTTGCGTATTTCCGACCGACGCAAGGGAATCGATGTTCGAGTTCAGCTCAAAGCCAGGATTCCCAACGCAGGTAAACCCTTTTCAATTGATGGAGTGACACAATGCAGTTTAAATACCTCCAACCAATCCCCCCCCGCGTTAATCCTTGAGCGTTAAAAGCCAAGCTTAGTAAATAGTGGAAATTCCAAGAGATTTTTTTTTCAGTAATGTTCATCCTGTACAAGCCCTGTGGGACACTCGAGGTAGAGGATTACATGAAGAGGTACAGTTTATGCGGATAGGAGAGGAGGATAATGGTTAACCCTAGACATGAACAGGTTAAGATTGTGGTGATCGGGGAAACATCCTCTTGGGAGTTGGTTTCACAGAGCAGCGGTTCGCGTGAAGAAGCTGTTTGATAGATAGATAGATAGATAGATAGATAGATAGATAGATGAAGAGATTGTGATAGATAGATAGATAGATAGATAGATAGATAGATGAAGAGATTGTGATAGATAGATAGATAGATAGATAGATAGATAGATAGATAGATAGATAGATAGGTGAAGAGATTGTGATAGATAGATAGATAGATAGATAGATAGATAGATAGATAGATAGATAGATAGATCTCAACGAAGAATCTTTCGGACTATATTAAGACCAGAGAGTGGGGACTGAGCAGCTCCCACCCAAATATGACTACAGTACTTCATTCTCGGCCTTGGATCTTGTAAAGATAGGGGATAGCATGCGGTGTCGGGTACTTACTGGGCCGGTACAGGGGCCCGACCATCTTCCCTGTATCTTTAGCGATCGTATGTACGAGTTCCTCTCGAGATCAGGTGTGAGTTTAAGGCCACTAGTCCTTCAAGGCAGGGAGCCTTCCAAAAGCGGAGACATCCAGTCATCGAGACTGACGGCAGTAATGGAAAAATAAAGAGAGAGAATGAGAGCGAAAATGAAAGAAAAGGTAAAAGAGAAACTAGAAGTTGAGAGAAAAGGAAAAAAAAGACTGATAAAAAGGCAACGGGAGGAGAGAGAAGGAAAGAGAAATAGATTAAAAGAGTGTAGCGAGATACAGAAAAAAAGAGAAAGATGAAAAAAAAAAGAAAAGAAAAAAGTGTTAAAGAGAGAGTGAAAAAAATTGTGCTGAAAAGGAATTAAACCTGCAGAAGCAACAAGAAATTAGAAAGACTGGCGAACGGTTAAGAGCAAGCGATAGAAAAAGCGTAGGCATAAAAAGGAGGGGTTGGCGATATTAAAAATGAAGATGGTCAGCGATTGGATTTGACAGAGACAGATTTGTGAAAAGAAGACAGAATGCTTTTCTAAATTGAAACCAAAAACGAAATAAAAAAAAAAGAAAAAGATATACATCCGATAACCGTTCCCAATAATTCCACAATTAGATACTTAATTGAGTGATTTAAGGAGTCGGGAGCAGGTATGGCTGCCATGGGTCTTTTCGCTAGCAGTCCCCGCCAGGTGGCGCCGATGACTTGCTCAGAGCGGGAATGAGTTTAGCAGCCCTTCGACTTCCAATAGAGGCGCGTGCGACTCATTTGCCGGTCCGGTCTCACAAGGGAAGTGCTAATGGAGTAAAACAGAGCTAAATCTTGCTACGGGCCTTCGTCTCTTCGCTTAATAAATCCAATTACGGCTCTATTCCTCAGTTGCCTTAAAATCAACACCGACTATTTATCGACATTGAATCTATATACGTAGTCTGCTTATTTCAGTCTAATTGAATAAGGCCATTTCGTTTTAGGCTTTTCTTATATGAAATCATTAATTTCATTTAAGGGAAGATAACTGTCGTCCGAAGTATCTCTTCTCTTTCACTCTCATTCGGCAGTGCCAATCAGATTAGGCCTATTGTGTTCGACAGGAATCTCCCTCCCTTTCCCTGGCTAAATTTCGACGATTCTTCTTTTTGCACGTCCATCAAGCACACGTGGACGAGTCCAAAGTGTTTGTAAGGGGCGTATCAATGGCTTTGACGACTGTCTGCTCGTGCCGCTTGTGTCGTCAAATGGAAGAAAGGCGGGGGTCGCTTAGTCATAGCGGCCGCATTTGTAAAAGAGATGAGTCGTGATTGTATTCACAAGTTGAAATACAGTTGATACTGCCTTTCATATCGGGACGGGGACATCGTGTGATATCGGGGGTGATAGAAATGGAAGATTTGTTTGGATGCAGACTGTAGTCAGATGGTTCCTGATATATATATATATATATATATATATATATATATATATATATATATATAAGAAAAATATACTCTTAAGATGTGGTATATTTATGGGATAAAGTGCTCAATATCAGCGTGTGTAAATATAAAAGTGAACATTGAAGTCAACACTTAGAGCGACAGGCTGTTTTTCATGTTAGACGCAATCGCCAGGCCACCGATTGCGTCTAGCATGAAACAGCCTGTCACCTCAGAGTGTTGATTTCAATGTTCACTTTTATATATATATATATATATATATATATATATATATATATATATATATATATATATATATACATACATACATATATATATAATATATTATAATATAAAAGGCTCAAGCACTAATATTCCATGGTTATAATTTATTACATTGGTATCATAATCACGATCCAAATCATCAGATCTACAAATTCAAAAAGAATCGGAAAATATAACTCCAGATATAAAGTATAAAAAAACAAAATTTTAGTGAGTGTCTATGTGTGGGTGTGGGAAACAAGAGTGAGAGGGAAATGTATGAAAGCTCTAGAGAGAGGGGTCTAACTGAAGAAAGAAGAAGAGGAAAGGCCTAAAGGTGAAGGTGGGGGTTAATATTTAAAAAGAGAAGTTTTAAAGAGAGGAGTTAAATAACGGTTTAAATGAGTGAGATACAGATAAATATGAATTTCAGATGCATAAATCCCTACCGATTCGCTGACCTATATATATATATATATATATATATATATATATATATATATATATATAATAAGCTTAAAACCCGCCTAATATTTTCTGTTTCTCTATAAAAGAACGTATAAACAGAATATATATATATATATATATATATATATATATATATATATATATATATATATCCAAATGTAAAAGAACAAATAATAAAATTCCAACGTTCAAAACATTAATTTAAAACAGGGCTCAATACAAGAGTAGAGCAATAAATATTTATTATTCTGTTACATTAGAACATGTAAGTAATTACTACATAATTGTACATTTTGCATCATTGTTAATTACCTGAAGATACGTTTTATTTAAACGTCGAAACAAAATGTACAATTTTGTAGTAATTACTTACATGTTCTAATATACCAGTGTATCAATATATATATATATATATATAAGGCATGTGTTGACAAAGACTACGGAACTTTTCCGTTTAATAATCTTTCTTTCTGTTTTATCTTGCTTTCTCGCAAGTTTTATATATATATATATATATATATTTGGGTCTAATTTGTTGAAATAAGACCCTAGTCCATGATGTTTTGACAAGCACTTTCGGTATCGTCAACCGTCGTTATGGCAGTATGTTTAGATTTGAATTAGTTTTATAGATAATATTTTGGGTATTTAGGCAATGTGGTTGGATTAGTTCATTCCTAATAAGGAGAGGTTGGTGTTTATTATTTGGAAGATTCGTTATTAAATATGTTTACGATGTTTCTACCACTATTCAATGTTATTTTGTTTATGTTGGGCTTTTGTTTTTTAATTAGTATGACTTCAAGAGTTTGTAATCGTTTTTTGCATTTATCTTTATAGAGGATATTGGTGTTGTTAATTAAGACTTTTTCTTATTTCGGATGATTTGAATGGGTTACTAGTGGTGACATATATACATATATATATATATATATATATATATATATATATATATAATGAACTCTCCCGTCGGTTTCTACCTATGAGGATCTAACAGCTTAATTGATTCAGTTATGAAATTTTGTGCGATAATCTTAAGTGGCATTTAAGACCCGCTAGTGATTTACAAAGAAGGCTGCATATGGAGCAAGAATGTGGATTGTGCGATGAGATCATTGTTAGATTGGCTGACCTTTTAGATCTTGCACTCGCTTCTTGAAGACGATTCAGACTAGCAGATTGAAAACTGCTGAGTCCACTAAAACACGTTAATCTCCACTCTGCGCGCTCCAAGGCTAAGGACTCGAGGATGTTATGAAGGTATATTGACAGCTGACAAGTTGCTTTTCAGGTTGTCTTTGTATCTTAGCCGTCCAATATTCCGACATTCCTGTAGCCTTGATCTAACTGGCTGTACATTAGGATCTTGGGTATCCTGTCATCAGACATTCTCAAGACATGACCAGTCCACCGTAACTGAGACTGTATGAGAAAAGTCTCGATTCCTCTAATATTACACCTGTTAAATAGGTCTACGTTAGATGTCCTATCTTGAAGACTAACTCCACAGATGGCACGCAGACAGCTTTTATGGAAAACATCCAGCTTTTTAAAAATATTTTTTTCACTATTCTTCGATTATATTATTTCAGATACTTTGCTTTGGTATTCATTTTTCAAAAAGTACTTTTATTTCCTTAATTTAACTTTTAAAATTTTCCTTTATTTGAATAAATGAATATAAACTTTTCTTTTCATATGACGGCATATTGACAGCCGACAAGTCTCTTTTCCGCTTGTCTTTGTATCTTAGCCATGGTCGTCCTACATTCCTGTAGCCCTGATCTAACTGGCTGTACATTAGGATCTTGGGTATCCTGTCATCAGACCTTCTCAAGACATGACCAGTCCACCGTAACTGAGACTGTATAAGAAAACGTTCAACATTTTTTGTTTCATTCAAATTTATATAAAGTTATATTAAATTATGTATTAATCGCACATTCGACCAAACATTGAAGAAATGGCGAAAATACACCAGCCACAGATTTTTACACTAAATAAGCTTCACTTGATTTTTAAAATTTTTTTAAATTTAACTTCACACTGTACAAGCTGCAAAAATAGTTAAATAGGAACATTGAAATAAAGTTTATATTTCTATGTATATTTTTTTTAAAATCTATGGTTTTATTTCATAAAATTTAAATGTATACCCTTTAAAACGTTACTAAGTGTGCCGTTATATTTCCATTTGCTCCTTGGTGTGGCATTACTTAAAAAATTTGAGAAACACTGGACAATATCTACGCCAAGCCCAGATTTTTCTGTGTTTAATTTCTTTATCTCCTATATACTAAACATGTTATGTTTATTCATGTTTTAATGAAAATACTGACATAAACCCTAAATACGATTAGTTATTTGCGAAATTCAAACTCCTTAACAAGACCACTGGAATTAGATATTGTTATGTGAATGAATATCATCACTCTGATATCTGTTATAATAAATCTAATCACGAGAAATATTAGAATACAATACAAGAGCTCATCGCATAGAGTAAATTGAAGAAGCCTTGAAGTAATCAGAGTATACCTCAGCAGAGATGTAATTTAAGAAATGCAAATATTGTCCAATATCACATTGAGAAGGAATAAAAACGCAAGGGATTTATTACAATTCGGATAAACGGTGTCGCCATTCTTTCGGTATTTAACATGATAGCCGTGTGTATAATCACGATAAGTACGCTTTACACTTCTTGATTGATGAATAGGATTAATATTTACACATCATGTTTTCATAATTCTAATCAACACTTTTTCATTCTACTTTTTTTGTTTGTTTGTTTGTTTATCGTCCGACGTGGAGGTGAAGAATATAGGTTAAAAGCTAGAGGTTAACTGACAAGCAAGATGGCGTACAAAATCGCCTGCCGCCTTCAATTTAAATGTTTATCACTATTTTCATATTTTCTTCTTTTTTTTCTTAATAAATAGGATTCTTCTTGATAGAACTCTTCTTTTTATTATTATTATTATTCCTCTTCTTCTTAATGAAAACAGAATTTTCTTATTCTTGATAAATAATATTCTTCTTGTTGATAGAATTCTTTTTTATCCTTATTCTTCTTATTATTATTTTACTTCTACTTATTGTTCCTCTTCTTCTTATTGTTCCTAATATTTTCTTCTTCTTCTTGATATATGTGAATTTTCTTATTCTTGATAAATAGAATTCTTCCTCTTGTTCTTGTTCTTCTTCTGATTATTATTATTATTATTATTGATAAATAGGATTCTTCTTCTTAATAAAGTTCTTCGGATTCTTCTTCTTCCGCCTCCTTCGCCTCCTCCTCCCCCTCCTCTTCTTCTTCTTGATAAATAAGATTTTTCTACTTCTTGATAAATAGAATTATTATTATTATTATTATTATTATTATTATTATTATTATTATTTCCTTCTTGATAAATAAGGTTTGTTCTTCATTCTCTTCTGGATAAATAGAATTCTTCTTCTATTTCTTCTTCTTTTCTTCTTCTTCTTCTCCTTCTTCTTCTTCTTCTTCTTATTATTATTATTTCATTCCTGATAAATAAGTTTTTTTTTCTTTCTCTTCTTGATAAATGGAATTCTTCTTCTCCTTTTATTATTATTATTATTATTATCTCTTTCTTGATAAATAAGATTTCTCTTCTTTCTCTTCTTGATAAATAGAGTTCTTCTTCTTCTCCTCCTCCTCCTCCTCCTCCTTCTACTACTACTACTACTACTACTATTATTATTATTATTATTATTATTATTATTGATAAATAGGATTATCCTTTTTCTTCTTCTTCCTCTTCAATTTATTCCACTGAGTTTGTATACACAAAAGCCTTCAACAAATTTGCTGTCTTAATTAGAAAATGATACAAATGGCTGGCGAATCGCCTCTTGATTCTGCGAACAAAGTTTGCCAGTTGAATTAGGAAAGTTCAGTTTTTGCTGGACAGGCGAGTCAGGAATAGAAAATGTAAAAGGGTGAATATTGAGAGAAACTGCACGTTAAAACAGCTTCCAATTAGATTTTTCTTTCAATAAAATATAGTTATTCAATATCAAATCTGATACTGTTAAAATGATAGTTAGATATTAAAGTGAAAGTAAAAGTGAAAGTAGATATGAGAACAAAAAGCATGAACTCAGAATTGATTTGTTGCAATTAGTTTTGCTGAAAACAATTTCTTGTCATCATCATACTCCTTTCCTGTGCCTAACTTTGAGAAAAATGCTTGAAATATATCAATTTTTATCTGCAAATATCAAGGAATGTCACTAATACATCTTTTTTCCCCTAAAGTACTGTGTGCATTATTCGTGGAACTGATTCTTGGCAAAAGGTTGATATAAAATTTGTGATTTACGAGACCAAGAGCCAAAAACTCTACAGGAAACATATTTAAAGACTCTGGCAGATGTGATCTTGAAGGAGATAAATTTTGTTGGTAACCTAAAAGTGCTAAGCAAATCTGAATATATCTACTCCTCCAAATCCTAAACTAATTTAAAATCTCGGCAAATTGATGAAAATAAGTCTTTATTTATTGATATATAAGAAAAGGTAATAGTTGCTGGTGAGAATTGATTCGTTTTTACTATTTCATCTCGATCAATACCTATCAACAGCAAGCTGGTCATAGGATCTATCTATCTCAATCTTTTCATATCTATCTATCTATCTATCTATCTATCTATCTATCTATCTATCTATCTATCTATCTATCTATCTATCTCAATCTTTTCATATCTATCTATCTATCTATCTCAATCTTTTCATATCTATCTATCTATCTATCTATCTCAAGCTTTTCATATCTATCTATCTCAATCTTTTCATATCTATCTATCTATCTCAATCTTTTCATATCTATCTATCTATCTATCTCAGTCGTTTCATATGTATCTATCTATCTATTTCAGTCGTTTCATATCTATCTATCAATCTATCTATCTATCTATCCATCTATCTATCTATGTAGCTAGCTAGCTAGCTATCTTAGTCTCTTCATATATCCATCTATCCGTATTTTCATATCTATCTATCTATCTATCTATCTATCTATCTATCTATCTATCAGAGTCTCTTCATATATCCATCTCAATCTTTTCATATCTATCTATATATCTATCTATCTATCTACTTCAGCTCATTATCTATCTATCTATCTATCTATTTATCTATCTATCTATCTATCTATCTCAATCTGTTCATTATCTATCTATCTATCTCTGTTTTTCATTGTCTGTCTATCTCAATTTGTTCATCTATCTATCTATCTATCTATCTATCTATCTATCTATCTATCTATCTATCTATCTATCTATCTATCTTAGTCATTTCATATCTATCTATTTATCTATGTATCTAAGTCTCCTCGTATATCTATCTCTTTCTCTCTTTATATATATATATATAGAGAGAGAGAGACGCAGACACACACATAATATATATATATATAGAGAGAGATACACACACATATATATCTGCATGCATGTATATATGTATGTATGTAATATGTAAATTTAATTAAAAAAATTAATTCAGACCACACAATTTTTTTATGTATATTTTTTAAATAGTTCTAAGATATGTGTGTGTGTTACGGCTATATCACGTTGAAACACTGGTTCTTCTCCGATCTCTGTAGTTTATATATATATATATATATATATGTGTGTGTGTGTGTGTGTGTGTGTTCCCGTTTTCAATTTTTTTGCAGACGATGATGTTTTTCAGAACAGAAAATGAAATTACAGACAATAAGATACACTATGTTTCGTACTTGTAAAATCTACGAAACATAAGGGTTAGTTAACCTTATTACGTTTTTCTAGTATAACAAAAGCCACTGTCTTTCAATATAAAAAAAAAAGTTATTGCTTAACGTGGTGGGCTTGCAGTTAAAATTTTAGTTACTTTTGTGTGTACTGCGCATGTACCGGAAGACGAGCGACTCCCTAAAAAGCAAACAGACTAGCCTCACCAACCCGTGACTAACTTTCCTTCATTCTTCATCCGAGTTAAATTCCTGTTTGCCTATTAGTTCAAGCGTCTACAATTAAGACTTTTGTTAGTCAAATCGACCGAGCCGTTTGCCGACCGAAAACTGAACGGTGTGTTGAGGACAAAGAACGTATGAAAATGAAGTTTTGCTAGGTGCGCTCCTAAAAAAATTTCGCGCTGCCATCAATGGAGGTTATGGCAGAAAAGAGGGGTCCGGCCTTGGTAGGGCGTTTCTTGTTTTATTTTATTTTTTTTCTGAGGGGGAGCCCGGGGCTGGTGCTTCGTGGTATGCTGGATGCAATGCCCGTTGTGATGTGTGAATGCCCTACACTAATGTAATATATCTAATGGGTATCAGCCGCGAAGCGCGTTTGGATACACAAAGAAATTTGCAAGCAAAACTCGGCGTAATTCGATAACTGTGGCAATGTGATGGAATAAACAGAGTAATTGAATTTTGACGCCAATCTGGAGAGAAAAAATGGCGGGTCTGTTTGCCGGAGGATGGCCACTAATGGTGTGAATGTCTTTTGCAGGTCTGGTTCCAGAATCGTCGAGCCAAATGTCGAAAGCAGGAGAGCCAAATGCAAAAAGGTAAGTCAGAGTTAATTTACGTGGATAAGAAAGAAAGAAAAAAAGAAAGAGAGAGAGATAGAAAGAAAGAGAGAGAGAGAGAGAAAAGTTAATGAAAAAGAGAAGCTAATTAAAGAAAGAAAGAAAGAAAGAAAGAAAGAAAGAAAGAAAGAAAGAAAGAAAGAAAGCTTAACGAAGTGCAGAAGCTAATTAAAGAAAGAAAGAGAAAGAAAGAAAAGTTAATGTGATGGAGAAAAGAAAGAAAGAAAGAAAGAAAGAAAGAAAGAAAGAAAGAAAGAAAGAAAGAAAGAAAGAAAGAAAGAAAGAGGCAACATGAGGAAATTAAAAGTATATATGGTAGGATGGTATGAAGAAAGAAAGAAAGAAAGAAAGAAAGAAAGAAAGAAAGAAAGAAAGAAAGAAAGAAAGAAAGAAAGAAAGAAAGGAAATGAAGGAAAAATTCAAAGAAATGACAAAGAAAGAAAGAAAGAAAGAAAGAAAGAAAGAAAGAAAGAAAGAAAGAAAGAAAGAAAGAAAAGTTAACAAAAAAGGTAAAGACAGCTAAAGAAAGAAAGTTAATTAAAGTACGAAAAGGGAATTAAAGAAAGAAAAAAAGAAAAAAGAAAAAGTTAATGAAAGAAAAAATAGTAAATTGAAGAAAAAAATGACATATATAAAGATAAAAAAGAAAGAAAGAAAAAATATAAAAAAGAAGAAAGGTTAATGAAAAAGAGAAGTAAAAGAAAGAAAGAAAGAAAGAAAGAAAGAAAGAAAGAAAGAGGGGAAAAGAGAGAGGGAAAGAAAAAGAAAAGGTTAATGAAAAGAGAGGAGTGAATTAAAGAAAGAACGAAAGATGAAATAAAATGAAAGAAAGGAAGATTGATGAATAAAAACGTTTAAGAAAGAATGAAAAAAAGAACGAACATCAGGGTGGGAAAGGTAGGAGAAAAAAGAAAGAGAAAAGTATAATACAGTAGTAGGGGGAGCTATAAATAATCAGTAGTACTGAGAGGACAAAAAAGGACTGGAGTAGTAGTGGCAGGAGTGGTAATCGTTGCAGTTGTGTTCGCGAAAACTGTGAAGGTGGGAGTGATTGAAACAGTGTTGATAGGAGTAATGGTGGAAGTAGAGAAAAGGATGTAGCGATTGAAGCGGAAGTCTTATTAAACTTACCATAAGCTCGCTCTAATGCAAATAAGACTATACAATAAGAATAAAATATAAATTAGTCATGGTGACAGTAGTAGTAGTAGTAGTTGTTGTTGTTGTTGTTTTGGGGAAAGTAACGTAAATGACAGGAAAAAAGATAATGACGATAGGAGTAGCGGTGATAGTAGCATTAAATAAGGAAGTGGCAAATGGACTTAAAATCGCTCTCATATTGACAAGAGTAATGGTGGTGATGGGTGTGCGGGAAGTGTACTGTTTTGGGCGCGAAAAGTGAACTTGGCGAGCCGAGGTCAAACGCCAGCCTAGTCTGTTGCGTTCACTTTTGCACAAATAACCTTGGGGAAAAGCATGAATCCATCAATGGGTTCATCTCGTGGTTCTTGACAAAATCCGAAGAAGGGTCTGTAATTTAATCGATCATGGCCAGACATCTCAACTTCAGTCAGTTTCTCAGCGACCCGACGTGGCTTCCCTCTGTCTTTTCTACAAATATTTTTAAGGCAACTGCTCTGATGAGGTTTTTACACTGGTTCCTCGACTACATGAATTTAAGCCTACTACTAGATTGGCATCTAGGTCCCACCTGTCGAAATAGCTAAATGGAAACGCCACTTTCTACTCCAACAGTTTCTTTTTCGCACTTCCTACCTGTGGAACTCCCCCCCCCGACATGTTTACTTGCTTCCCTGATAACTACAATCATCAAAAATTTAAATGCAACGTCAATCGCTATCTTTTGTTTTCTTGAATCCCGTTCATCATTTGTCCTTTCCACAATCCTCCCTATTCTTAGTCTTCTCTTTCACTTTCACTCCTTGTAACCCCCTGCGTACTAGTGGGATTCCACTAGTTGCTTGGGGTGAAATGATTTAAAAAATAGTAGTGTAGACTCGACTTTCTTGCCTTGGATGAAAACCAATGTAAGAGAAAGAAAACATTGAATACCAGACTGCAAAGAAGCCAACGGGAAAACACTCCATTAGCTTAGACAAAAAAGAAAAGGAAGATAAAGGTATTATAAAGTTAATCGTTGTTTCAGGCGTTGAAAGTCTTCAAGTGATGTGGCGCCTGTTGTTTCGTAAGGTACTTTGTGATTCTGTAGCGCCAATCCAGGAATTTCGTAGTCCTTATTCAGACCTATAAGTTTCATTCGCTGGATGCCATTTTTAATCATTGATCGCAAAAAGCCGTTGTTCTCTGAACGTACTGATCATTAAGGGAGAGCTTCGTTTTGCCTGAATGCTCAAAAACAAAACAGACGATAAAATTCAGAAGTTTATATCAGTCGCATGAACGCAAGAACTGAATCAGCAAATA